GTACAAATTCCGGGTCAAGGCGGCCACATCTTGTTCACAAGACATCGTCACTAATAGCTCACTATCGTGCGAAGGTAAGGCGGCATCAGCGAGACAGGTTCCTTGCGGCTTTGCCACGATCCATAATCAGCCAGTACCCCACAGGTAAGTCAGCACCAAACACACTTTAAACAGGCAGTCCGATTACGGGACGGAATCAGACGCACCACTGGTTTCGACTGTAAAATCTCGTAAAATCTTGAGCCAAGCACAAGGCGAGTCATGTGGACTAAAGCCTGGAAGGCGAGACGGACCGACAGCACCGAGTCTGGTTGTCGGTGATCATTTCCAGCTGCGAAGTCAACTTTTTACAGAAGAGTAGTAGGGGGAGTTGAATAGTATAGGTGGAAATTCGTCACACCTAGACTCACTCAGACAGCTGTCACAAGTCCGGAAAAGCACTGTACGCGTGTTTCATCCTTTCGGGAATCGTCAGCAGTGCGCATTCCTTCGGACCCTGGTAGGGCTGGAGCCCGCAACTCGAGTGTTGCCAGTCCGTGGCTGAGACCACTGAGCTATGTGGAACGGCAAGGACCATCAAGAATAAGTTACTAGATGTGACATGGCGCACTGCTGACGATTCCCGAAAGGATGAAACGCGCGTACAGTGCTTTTCCGGGCGTGTGACGGCTGTCAAAGTCAACCTTTGTCTACCTCGAGCCTTGTGTCGCCCTACATCTGGTAAACAAAACAAGGCCCTCCTTTGTAAGCAGTGACCAGGCACACGCAGTATGTGCCCAAGTCAACGCAACTTATTCAGTGCTATCTGTTGTTCTAAGAAATTAGTCAGGCTATCACTGCCTAGAACTCGCCTATGCACATCAAGGTTGCGGACACGCTGGTGTCACTCGACACCAGTAATGTTGTTATGACCATTGCATCACCCCATTTAGCTGCGCGGAACGCCAGTCTGCTATGGTCGCGGATTCACTCCGATAGGCTGTTCGACCCCGGACACGGATTGACTGACAAACAACAATGGTGGACCTCGTGAAACTGTGTATTTTCCGAACGACAGGACAAGAGGTGGAGCATGCTAGTTACATTTATAGGTATGGTGCGACCTACTTGGATATTCTTCGTTCCTTTTCCTTCCTTACTTGCCAATAATAGTATCACAATCTTCGGGAACATGCTTTTCATTGATAAACGACACTGTGTGAAGAAATCTTGACAGAATCCGTTGGTTTTTGTAGAAAGCAAGCTCCACCGGTCGATTCGTTAGGCGCCCCTCTTAATAAATGCTCCGTAGACAGCGGTGATCAAAGACCTTTATGTCCCTCAGATCCTCAGATCAAAGGGGCAGTCTCACTTCCACAAAGTAGGATGGCTCTCACTGTGGTCTTGTAGACACGGCCTTACCGTAGACAAAAGTGTCACGAATCAGGCAGGCAGTTCTGGCTTTTGCAGTGCGTGAACTGACTTCAGTGCCAATGTGTCTATCGTTGCTGATGCAGCTGCCCAGGTAAGTGAATCGATCAACCACCTCGAGTTCCTCACTGTCAAGGATGAAAGAGTCGTCGTGGCTGGTGGTCCTGCAACAATAGTCTGCACTTCGAAGATGTGAACCGCATATTAAATAATGGGACCACTCTTGAGAGCTTATTCAGGGTTGATTGCGTCGCCCCAGCGTCGTTAAACAGAAAGAAAATATCGCCCGCATAATCAAGATCAACTAACCTTCCACTAGGCAGCGCCTCAAGGCAAGGAAACATGCGAAGATGGCGTCCACGAAGAAGTTGAGCAAATGGGGGAAATTGGTCAACGTTGTTATCGGAAAGATATCCGATAGGATACTGTAGACCCTGACGCATCCTGTCGTATTCGAGTATAGAGCAAGTAATGTTAATAAACTTCGAGGGAACACCTTTGCGTGCAAGTATTTCGAAGAGAATGCATCGATTGGCTAAATGGAACGTATTCATGAAATCAAGGAACACAGCTGTTGTTGGTCTGCGGTATGCGTGGCACTGCTTCAACATTTGTCGCGAAGTAAATATATGATTCATACAGCCCCGTTCTGGGCGGAAACCTGTCTGCCCTTCCCTAATCCGAGATTCTCGTTCCTCGGTGAAAAAAATAAAAAAGAAAGATATCATCAGTACGCCTTTACGCAGCACAGATGCTAGGCTGCCGCACAACCACCCAGTCTCACGTGGGCTAAGGACACTGCGAGGACCGCCCGCTTCCTACGCATGCTCGAACCCGCGCCCTCGGATTACAAGACACGTTTGTGGTCCTTAAGACTACAGGCCCGTTCCTCAGTGAGGCGACGAACGAGAATCGAGGCCAGTAGTTTGTCACTACGGGCGTTAGGCTAATACGCATGCGGTTAGCATAGTCGGCACGAATGTCCTTCTTGGATACTCCCATCATACTCGATTCACTCCAGTTAGCCGGGATGGTCTCTTCTTTCCAGACATGTTCGAACAGTGGGGTCAGTGTTTTTCAGAGGACCTCACCAGTATCCTTAAATGGTGTAGGTGGGACGGAATAAAGGCCAATAGCGCGAAAAACGATTGAGAGCTGTGATCGTGTTTCAAACCTCAGCCACCTGATGGAGGCTCTAAACTAACCGGCCATCGCTCATCCCGTATCACCTAAGTAGAAAGAGGTCCGCAAGCAGATGGTCAACTGAAATGATCTTGAAAGTGCTCAGCCCAACGAGTCATACAGTTCCTCCTTATTGTTAATCAGGTCATCAGCGCTGTCTGATTGTCTCAATGATGTCCGTTGCGAATCAGCTGGAAGGGCTCGCGATAACTGCTTACTGCTCTCGTCTCAACCATTTCTCGAGCCCGGCTGGTCCACTAGGCTTCCTTGTCAGCACGCAGGCTCCGCACTAGTTCCAGCCTCATAGTCCGTCTGGTAACAGTGTACTCAGAGGCAACTGGAGGTTATCCAATGGATTTCAACAGGTGCACAGATCTCTCGGATATCCAGTGACTGGTGCGGTAACGATTTTAAGCACCAGAAGAAGATGCTTCTGCGTCGTGCATGGCGGACGAGATCCTATTTCACTTAGGCTCTGTGTCATTATGGCAAGACAGCAAAAGTTCAGTACCCATTGCATCCTAGTAGGCTTGTCTGACTGAGATGAGATAACTTTCCAGTTGCCAATCGATGGAGACGCTTGGTACGCCTCCTGTTAAAATGCATGGAAAAACGACAGCGTACGAAGGCAGTATTAGTCGACGCAGGTACTCCAGTACGATCGGCAATGCAGGATGCAACAACGCCACCTGTAACATGGCAATGTGATCTATTTGGGTCCACGGCTGGTCAGCTACGGAAGGACGTCAAATGGCACTTTGACGCCCACTGTGCCTAAAAGCGGTGCTACTAGTTTTACAGAAATGAATGACATCACGTTTCAAACCCCCAAGTTGGAGGACCAGAAGATTGAGTTTGTCCGATCTCTAGCCATTGACCAATCTGGTAGGAGTAGCTCTCAACGGGCCCGAGGCACCACCCACTATGTCGCAATGGATCAACTATGTATACAAACCATCACACCACGTTAAGGTCCAGTCTCGCTGCGACGGGGTTGCTGTTTCTAGTTGTGTTTAAACAGCCGATGGATAAGGGATTGGACGCAACCCGAGCAAGGAAGAAAACTGAAATATGCAAGCATGATCGCAATGGGTACAGTTTAATCGTCAAACCGGGCAAAGAAGCACAGGCGGTTAGACATTGCTTAACATAGCGTACTTGTGATCGATGCGGCCACTGCACCAGGGAAGTCTGCGAGGTCCATGGGTTAACGTGCGAGTTGGCGTTTTAATCACAGAAAACCGTCGCAGATCAATGTGCCATTTATTATCCGCCTGTTGGTCGATGCGTACAATGTGTTCACGGCACGCAATGGTTTGCATGAACAATCAGCTGGAAATTGAACGCAGAGACAATAATTAGCGGCTCTTGCCACCAAAACGCTCTGTTGGAGGGGTGAAGGGTAGCGTGTTCAAACTCCTTGTCTTACACTGAGCCAACTTCATCCCAGCCCGCAGTTGGTGACCTAAGACATTAACACACTCATTACTGTAATATAATTCGTCATAGCGCGGGTGATAAAGTGATCGGGAGCGTCTCCAGCTGATACTCCTGTGTCACATGCATGCCTACATATCGCTCTATATTTACACCCGATATACCATTGGTTTACGGTGCCTGACCAATGAAGATGCTACATGACAGTGCGCGCAATTGAGTTCGTGGACGGCTTGGGTGAATAACGGAAGAATTCGACTGCGCAACTTGACACCACTATGGAGTAACTTAACTGAGAAATGTTACAGTTATAGGCTGACTAATCAAGGGTGTTGACCTCAGGCCACCAATAGTCGGTTAATTGACCCCTGGGCAACAGTAGATTTTAACTTTTTGACTTCAGCTCATCCTGATCTTTAGGGTAGATGTTTGCCTTGACTTCTGCTCGCGAGGTTTCTAGGTCAGCGCTCAGGGAACGTACCTCACTAGCAAATCCGGGCTCCATCCGCATGCCTCTTAGTTTATTTCCTTCTGAGTTACATCGAACATGGGAAGTGCGGATGAAGCTGTGAGCTATCAAAAAGATAAAATGCACGCTCCGTACTACAAAGTTAACTAGATTGAATTGATATAAGAGCGGGAGATTTCGAAATATATCCTCTTTAAGCTATTTCCAAAGAATTGGACAAAGAAAAGCGAGAATGACAGCCGTCGCCACTACCTACTAGCTAACCATATACTGCATTCCTATAAAGTAGAGAATCATTTCCACGGAAAGAGGAGCGATGTATTCACATACGAGAAGGGTAGCATAAGGGTAGTAACTAAGTGCGTAAGAAAAAGGTAAACGCGCTGATTTAGACAATAGAACAAACAACAAATAATTCAAATTGCAATTTGAAGCAAGGTGCTGAGTGATACGGGTAAAATGGAAATCGTGCTGATTACAGAAAGATAACCGAACAACTCACATCGGTAGAAGGCGCGGAGAAGTTTCTACACCGATTGAAACATGAACTTGATTGCGATTCCATGAAAATTACAAGGATAACATTCTGAGGTAAACCATTCCAAGCTGTAGGTCTAAAAGCCAAACCGAAAAAAACAGAACTGAATAAGCGAGACGTGCCACCATCCATACACGTACATAAAAACATTATATGTATATATATATATATATATATATATATATATATATGGACCAAAAATATGCCGCTGACCTCGCTGATTCTGCCATTGATACTCGTAACTCGTCCGTCAAACCACGAGTCTCATTTCACATTGGTTCTTTTAACGTCCGCACCCCGGGTATGATCGGTTAATAGGCATCACTGACTGACTCTTCACTCTTGGTATTGATGTGTGCTGTCTCCGAAATACGAATACAACAGCGCTGTGACGAATCACCGACTCCATAGTTCTGAATCTGACGACAATGACTACACTCATCACGTCTTTGGTGATACCAAGTAAATGGCTCAAGGTATTTACGATGTTGGTGTCGCTCTCAGCAGACATGCTGAAGGTAATCTACTCGATTGGATACCAGTAAACAGCCACATGTGTGCGGTTAGACTTCGAACTACTATTAGAGTTAATAAGCACTGTGTGAAGACAAGGCGCCTTTTCATCGCCTCCGTTTACGCTCCTACTGACTACAGTTCGGAGGGTACCAAAGATGGTTTCTACTACCGTCTTTCATGTCTTCTCCGCGTGGCGAAGAACGCTGACATCGTAATTGTTGCTGGTGACTTGAATGCCAAAATGGGTCATCATTCAGATTCTGAGCAACAACTGGGAGGGCGCTTTGGAGTCAATGCACGCCGAACAGACAATGATGATCGATGCTTGCAACTGAGCGCCGACGACAATCTATATTTTAGCGGCACTGCTTTCCACCACAAACGTTAACACCGCGCCACCTGGCGCCCACCGAATTTCTCAATGACCTGGACTCAAACTGACCATATTCCTATTAGATGCAGGTTGCGCACATCAGTCCAAGACTGTCGGTCAATTTAGAGCACATGCCTGGATTCCGACCACGCTCTAGTGCGTGCACGCTTGGCGCTCACGCTTCCCACTTCAAAAAAGCGCTTATCTTCCAACCTTCTTACTTGTAATTTGAACTCGCAGTCTGCGATTCAATAATATCATAACGAACTGACCCACCAATTGTCAGTGATGAATGAGGTTGGTGAGCAGAACGCTGACTGGGATCATCTCAGGTTTATCATGAAAAACGCTTTTAACGCTTGCTGTACACCTGACTTGAGACGTTATAACTGCAAATGAATCTTTAAAGCATCGAGCAGCTTAGTCGAACCGCGTAAAAAACAGGTTCCGATAGGCAATGAATTTCAGCTTAGCCCTAAATCCACGTGACGACGTCTGACAAGGAGTGTTCGTGTTGACCGGGAATGTTGGTGGGTTGCATAGGACCGTGAGATGGGGGAAGCCAGTGCTACTGGAAACAGACGTTCACTATTCCAACTCATGCGGAACAAGAGTCCGAGAAAGTTATCAGTTAAAGACAATAGCTGAGAAAGATGAACAGTTGATCCATTCTGAACGTGGTCGACTAGCCTGTTGGGCAAAACATTTTGCGCAGCGGTTCAGCCGATCTGCTGCGACACTGCCGCTTACCGACTCCCCTGAGCCGACGAGGAAAATAGATGTCACACCTACTTTGAAAGATTCGACATGAGCTCGCCGTGTTAAAACAAAACAAGGCTCCGGGACCCGAGGAAATCCTCCCATATTTGCTGATAGACCAAAATCAATCAACAGCAGTACATAAGCCATTGGAACTGATGCTTGGCAGCCATACAACCATGATAACCTATGAAATAAAGAATAATAAGAGGGAGAGAAGGGGGACTTAGTGGAAAACAAATGTCCTGAGAAAATATAAAGGTCAAGGCGCCTACACCTTGTGTTAGCAAACATACCGTTACAAACAGCTGGCTATTGTGCAAAGATAAGGCGACATCGGCGAGAAAGCTTCTTTGCGGTTTTCACTGCCACGCGTCATAGTCAACCATTACCCCGCAGACAAGTCAACACCAAACACATACTGAACAGTCAGTCCGACTAGGAGATGACAGCAGACGTGAACTGGCGTCGGTTGTAAGCCATGTCTTGTAAGGTCTCGAACCAAGCACAAGGCGGGTCACGTGGACTCCAGTCCGGAAACCGAGACGGACCAACGGCACCCAGTTTGGTCGTCAGTGACTGCATTTCACGCTGCCAAGTCAACTTCTGTCCATCTCGAGCCTTGCGCCACCCTACAGCCGACAGACTAAACAAGGCTCTCCTAGGCAAGCGGTGACCAGGCATAGGTAGCACGTGCCAAGCCACCGCAACTTATCCAGTACTAGCTGCTGTTCTAACGAGCTAGCACGATTAACACTAGCTAGCACTCGTCTACGCAAATCATCGTTGCGGACACGCTGGTACCATCCGAAACAAGCAAGGCTTCGCAGACAACGATGACCAAAGACTTGAATGCGCCTCAGGTCTTCAGACCGAAGGGACCAAGTTTCACTACTACAAAGCAGGACGGCCCTCACTGTGGCCTTGTATACACAATATATACAAATAATGGGACCACTCTAGACAGGCTATTCAGGGTTGATTGTCCCGCCCCAACATCGTTAAACAGCAAGACGATATCGTTCATACAATCAAGATCAACTAACCTTTCACCAGACAGGATTTCAACGCCTACATCATGAGATTCCGCAAAGGAACACTCCATGAGAGAGTCCACGACAAAAGTGAACAAAGGTGGGGAAATCGGACAACCCTGACGAACACTCCGTGTGGACGGAAAGCTATCCAACAGGTCACGGTAGACGCTGACGCGGCCTGTAGTGTTCCAGTATTGAGCACGTAGGATGTACACATAATTCATGAGAACATCATTCATTTCGAACAGAATGCATCGATCGACTAAACTGAACGCACTATTGAAGTCAAGGAACACAGCTACTGTCGGTCTGCGGTATGCGTGGCGCTGCTCTAGTGTCTGTCGCAAAGTTAATATATAGTCTATACAGCCACGTTATGGGCGGAAACTTTCCTGCTCTTCCCTAGTCCGAAATTCCCGTGCCACAGTGAGGCGAAGAACGAGGATCGAGGCGACTAATTTTGTCACAATTGGCGTGAGGCTAATATCACTGTGGTTAGCACAGTCGGTGCCACTGCCATTCTTGCATATTGCCATTATAATCGATTCACTCCAGTTAGCCGGGACACTTTCTTCCAGATATGTTCAAATAGGGAGGTCGGTGCTTTGCAGAGGACCTCACCTACATCTTTAAATAGTGCAGGTGGAAGGGAATCCGGGACAGCGGCACGAAAAGGATCAAGGGCTGTGATCAAGTTGCGGACCTCGGCCACCGATGGAGGCCCTAAATTAACCGTCCACGGCTCGTCCTGCATCACCTGAGTAGGAATAGATCCGGGAGCAGGGGCCAGCTGAACTGATCTTGAAAGTGTTCCGCCAAACAAGCCACACAGAGCTCAATACTGTGTATCAGTACACCCGCCCTGTCTCTGATTGTCTCACTGCCGCCTGGTTTCTTGGGACCAGTAGTGCGGAGCAGTTGGAAGGGCTTGCGGTAATGGCCTAATGCTCTTGCCTCCTCCAAGTCTGGAGCCCTACTGGTCTACCAGGTTTCCTTGTCAACACATAGGCTCCGCTTTAGTTCGCATCTAATAGCGCGTCTGGTCACATTGTGCTCAGAGCCAACCGGGAGGTTTCTTCTGGATTCCAACAGGTTCACCGACCACTCGGATATCCAGCGACTGGTGCGGTGACGATCAATAGTGTCATAAGCAGATGCTCCTGCGTCATGTATGGCGACCGAGATCCTATTTAACTGAAGCTCAGTGTCATTAGGACAACACAGTAAAAGTCCGGTACGCTTGTCTGACCGAGGGTTGAGACAATTTCTCTGTTGCCAACCGGGAGAGACACTTAGTGCGCCTCCCGGCAAAGTTCATGGAAAAAGGACCGCGTACTAAGTCAAGATCAGAGTCGACGCAGGTATTCCAGTACGAGCGACAATCCAGGATGGAACCACGCCAACTGTAACTTATGGCTATGTGGTCAATTTGGGTCCATCGATGGTCAGCTACAGGAGGACGCCAAGTGGCACTTCGGCACCCACTGTCTAAAAGCAGTGCTACTAAGAAACAACTGCTGCTCCACACACACAGTTGTAGCAAACGCTCGCCGGTGTCAGTGCTTTCGGAGTTAACCCCATAATTACCACGCAGCTGAGCTTCTGAACAGCTCATGGGCCCTACTTGTGCGTTCACATCCCCTGCAAGTACTATAATATCTGAACTAGTAGCACCGCGTAGTAGCGCGTTCAGTTCGTGATAGAATGTGTCCTTGACAACTATTGAACTGCAGCCGGTGGGGGTATCAGCGGAAATCACAAACAAACGTTTTGTACTACTTCGTGAATCAACCTTGGCTGATGTCGTCAAACAGGCTGCACATAAACGGCTGTTCACCGGAATCCAATCAACCAACGATGGCTCAGCCTTGAAGTTAGAATGATACCTACACCAGCTTGACTTGTAAGTGTCGCATCGGCGTCTCCGGACGTGTGCAACCAACAGCGAGAGAACAAGCCGAGCGCAGTTAATGTAGCAACCCCATTAGGGTCATTGATCCTAGTTTCCGACACACAACACACATCAATACCCAGTGTATCCAAGGTGTGTGCGGGTGCAGCCTGTTGACCTATTTGTCTTAGAGTGCGAACGTTGAACACTGCCCAGGAAAATGGACAGCGTAGCCTTATAAGGGATTATTGCCGATAGGCGTCCGATGGGTGTTGTGGAATGGTGGCTGCAGATGATTCTAATCTATTGGCATCGGTTGCTGTCAATCAAGCTGGGAATTATACAAGGAGGGTTAGTAATGGAGGTCGGGATGGGAGTAAGAGAAACAGGTGAGAAAGAAAGAAGGGAGGCGCCAGCAGTAGCATGTTTTCGCTTATCCGCCCTACTGTATGCAGCAGATAAAGCGACCCTAGATAATCTACGCGACGGCCGATTCAGGATGAAGTTTGTTTGAAGAAAAAGTCATGGTTGCATGTAGGCTAAGATACTGCCAGGGTGCCCAGACCTAGACAGGAGGATGATTAGGGTCTTCAACCAAAGCCTGTGCGCAAGGCAGCGGGGAGGTAGCAATGATTTAGTTTCACAGAAATGGTTGCTATCTCATTTCAAACCCCCCAACCTGGAGTTTATCTGACCTTTCACCATTGGACAACCTCTCAAGGGGCCCGAAGGCACCATCCAGTATAGTTCAGGCAGGTCAGGCAGGTACGCAAACCGTCGTACCACATTAAGATCCAGTCTCGTTGCTGAAAGATGGCGGTGAATCTTTGCTGACTGGAGTTGTTTCTCTTTTTAACACGATTTCCGACACTGAAGAACTGCCTTCAGATTGGCGACTAGCACCTGCCGTGCCCAACTTAAAGAGGGGTCGGCCAGTGGCCGAGTGGTCTGCACACCTGGCTTGCAATCATAAGGTCACCAATTCGAATCCGTGTAGGGGCGGGTGTCCTAGAGGTATACCCAGCCCACGCGCGACTGGTAGTAGTCGCGCGGATGCGAAGCACTGTTACGGAGTACAGCTGAGAGCTGGTCTTTTAATTTTTATGCGAAAATCATGGAGGCAGTAGCTTTATTTCCATTGCCTTAAACCTTCTCACGAGTATCATTCTTCCCCGTGAGGACCGAATCATTGAAAGCCAGACTGGCTTCCGCCCTGGCCGTGGTTGCATCGATCACATATTTACTCTTCGCCAATTTTTAAAGCAGAAACACAGACGATCGATTATGGTGATTTTCCTTGACTTGAAAGCCGCCTTCCACTCTGTTGACTGTGCCAGCTTGTGGCACTGCCTATCCATGGGGGGCGTACTAGCTAAACTCCCTTCTATTTTGAAGTCACCCTATCGTGATCGCCGAGGCCGTGTAAGGGTCTACGGGAAACTGTTTCCTGAGTTACCCACAACAAGTAGGGTTCGCCAAAATTGCCCTATGTCTCCTTTCCTCTTCAAGTTTGTGATCGAAATGATCATGAGTGACTCCGTTCTTTCAGACTCTAGCGGAGTGGAAGTTCTGCCAGATGACTGACTCACAAACCTGAAGTATACGGAGGACATAGCTCTAATTAAGTCTGACGCAGTGGCTATGCAAACACTACTGGACAGACTGAGTAGTGCTGCACGGTTCGGCATGTGCTTTGCACCTTCAAAGTGCAAAGTACTGTTGCAGGACTGGACCGACACCCCTCTGGTTCTAGCTATCAGTGAACAGCCACTGGAAGTGGTGGATCGGTTCATTTCCTTGGAAGCTGTCACTTCTGGTAGTCAAACAAACGAATAAGTCACATCGCGTATCAGCAAAGCTCGTGCGGTGTTCCAGAGACAACCATCTGTGGAGACGGCGGGCTATCAGTCTGTTAGTGAAATGTTGAATGTATAATATTGCGATAAGACCGGTGTTACTGTATGAACTAGAGATCAAACCAGTTCGCGTCGAAGAGATTAAGCGCTTGGCTGTGTTTGCTCACCGGTGCTTATGGAGTAATGCACAGGTATGATGAGAACACCGGGTGAGCAATGTTGAGGTCCGCAAGTTGGTTGTTGGCAAGTCTCCTAGTTCTTCACTCGTTTGTGCTGAAGCTTAATTGCTTACGTTGGTCTTATGTTCTTGGTATCTTTCAATCAACCAATGTCAACACACGAAAGGTGAGAATACATACGAGCACTGATGAAAGGTATATCTCCGGGTGGGAAATTTCGGAGGGATATAGCGTAGTACAGTGTAAAGGACAGAGGGTCACAGTCCAGGATAAGTGACGAGCTGAAATGGGGGGAAAATAGTTGTAGTTAATGAATATAAATGTCAGCAAAGGGAATAAATTCGTTTAGAGGCAGCCCTCCTAACACCACCTAGGGATTAGATGTTCGTGTGATTGCTGTCGTGGATTCAAGTACATAGAGACACGCTGCCATCTGATGCGATCAGTCCATCTTCTAGGTGTGTAATCGACTATACGGACTGACTCGGTGAACTCATCCGAAGGTTTGGGCCTCTGCAAGTGCTCAAAATATGCGGGGAAATGTCAGTAGGAAAAGCGGAGTCGTGAGACGTGGCTGTGTGGCAGAGAAACCAACGCAACTGGTTGGCATGGCGAACCGATAGTGAGTGTACATCTACTTCATAACCTGTCCAATGCGGCGTACAGCATCATGATACAAGTTAGCTGGAAGTAGAAAACACCTCGGCTATTGTGCCGCAAAATATAGCAAGTAAAAAGCCGGCAACAGAGGCACGCCAGCTGAGCTACCAGTAACGGATAGGCATCGTTTCGAAAAGCAACCAGCAGGTATGGTGCAGCAAAAAAACCAGTGTTCAAAAGCAATGTATGCTAGGAAATGAGATTGTTGTTGGAGGGGGAGGCTAAGGGGAAGGAGCAGAAAATTCGCAACACAAACGCCACTAAGGTCGGCTCCTCGCCATGTCAGCTAGTGTATACAGCCAAATGTGTACACTGTCTTTCGGACTCTAACCAAGGAGCTGAAAAGCTCCAACCGAGGCCAACTGCGAACTAAGGGCTTTCATTCCTTTTGACCAATACATCGCTTAGTCACCTTTCCTCCTTTCCATCCACAAGCCCGGCGCGAAAACAACGCGCGTCGCGAAGGTCGCTGTGGTGGCAAGCGCAACAAGCGGCTCAACCATTGGAGCATGTGAGTGATATAACGATGCTGTGCGGTTCACTTGTTCTTCCTGTGACATAAACAAGGCGCCGAACATGCTCATTGCTCACATAGTGCTCAAAGTAGTTATGAGCCAAACCGTGAAGGCAGCAGTGGTCGAAGACAACTAGTCTCTTCACATCTGATGATCTAATGCCCAGCTTCACAACCGTACAGCAGGGTCGAAGGTACGGCTGCATTGTAGACTATACCATACAGGTAGAGTGATGTCGCGCCGCCGCCATATGTGGCGACGGTTCGCAAAAGCGTCTCGAGCTTTCGCCATACGGTTTATGACCACCTGAGGACGAGGTGTGTCAACATCGGTTCTCACGTTGGCTAAGCGCAGTGGCGTTGGATAACGCCTGCTTGACCTTATCAAATGCTACAGTTGATTCTGTTGTTGGCTCAAACTTTCGGGATTTGCCTCTTAGTAAATCCGTCAGAAACTGAAGTAGTCGGGAACAATCTGGAATGAAACTATTGTAATAGTTGACCATCCCGAGAAAACGACGCAAACTTTTGAAGGACTGAGGCATCGGGTAATCTGCGATTGCCTGCGTCTTTTTGGGAAGTGAGCTAATACCATTGTGGTCTGTTCGATGATCGAGAAAATCTACACAAGATTGACCGAAAGTACACTTGTCAACGTTAATTGTCATGCCATACAGAGAAAAACACTCCAAGATCAGACGGAGATGTGACAGGTGTTACCCATAGTTCGAACTGGCGACGAGAATGGCATCGAGGTAGGCGAAAACGAAATTTAGCCCTCTAAGGACTTGATGCATGAAGCGCTGGAAAGTCTGGGGAGTGATTCGTAATCCGAAGAGCATACGAACGAATTACTAAAGACCGAAGGGGGTACTAATGGCGTTTTGGAATGTCATCAGGAGTAACAGGAATGTGATGGTACGCACGAACTAAACCGATTGTGGAGAAAACAGACTTGCCGTGCAAATTGCTAGAAAAAGCATGGATATGGGGAATTGGGTACCTATCGGGGACAGTGACACTGTTGAGCATCCGATAGTCGCCACAGTGTATCCAAACACTGGTCTTTTTGGGTACCAAGTATAGCGGACATGCCCAGCAGCTTTTGGAAGGGCGAATAATTCCGAGGTTAAGCATGTGTTCGACAGCTTGGCCGCTTGTAGTTTTGTTCAGTGGAAGGCGTCTTAGCTTGGCAGACACAGGAGGACCGGTTGTGACGATATGGTGGCAGATACCGACTGGCTAGCCGCACAACCTCCACGGGGGGGGGCAGCTGGGTGGTTCGGGTTTACCTCGTTCCAGCGAAGCGTTCGGCGACAGTGTTCCACCTCGGTGGGGCATTGTAGTAGAGCAATTGTGCTGATTTCATGGGGAATATTGGGCTCGGTAGTCTCCACATGGTCGCCAGTCCCCGCTAGACATTTTAGGGACCATGTGTAGAGGAGACGACCATGGACTGTTGGATGATCGCATGATTTCTAAGCGTAACATGTGTTCAAACCCGGCCTTGGCGGTGGCGAGTTTGTTGGTAGCCGTGAAGGTCGGAAAGTGACCGGAGGTCCTTTCGTGACGAAATGGTGCGTAATCTCGTGCTTAGGGTTTGGAAATTCACCGGATGACTGGGGAAACACAAGAAACTGGCGGAGCAAATCAATGAACATGTTGTCAGTAGGTAGTACCAGTCGAAGATCGATCGAACTGATCAAGGTTACTCTAGCTTGGACAGTAAGAGACGTGGAAGTGTTGCGAAGCTTCCTGTAGCTCAAGTCGACTATCAGACTACACTTCGTGAGAAAATCAGCACCAATGACAGGACGCTGAACGTCTGCGATTTGGAAGATGAAGGGAAAGGTTTGTCTGAGTCCTAGATCAAGTGTGGAGTTTTTGGCCTTACGTAGGAGTCTTAGTGTTGTTAGTCACCTGCAGAATAATGACGGTAGGAAGAAGGTAGCGTTTTGTTAATCCCCGAGGTAGAACACTGACCTCAGTATCGGTGTCAACCAAAAAGAAGAGGTTGGTTGATGAGTCGTGGACGTAGATGAGATGTGGTGTCTGACCGGTCGATAATTGAAAAGACGCTTGATAAGCCAACAAACGTACGGGTAAAGCCATGTCCCATTCCAGAGGAGTCTCGGTAGTCAGGAAAGCCTATAATAACGTCTTCAGCGTACGGTTCGTGCGTTCCAATAGTCCGTTTCCCTCCGAGTGGTAAGTAGTCGTTCGTGTCCTCAGGATGCCGAAAATGTGACAGATTTCACTCATGAGCGTGCTCTCAAAGTTCGCTCCGCGGTCTAAGTGTAACTGATAGGGTGATCCCCACCCTGCCACCCAATTGCTGAAGAACGCTACTGCCACACTCCACGCGTCTATATTTTAAAGAGGGACAGCTTTAAACCATTTGGTAAAGTAGTCCACCATAACAAGTACGTAACGATGGCATCTAGGAGTCTCTGGCTTGGGGCCAACAATGTCGATACATACGATCTCATTCGGTAAGCTGACCCTCAATGGCTGCAGTGGACCACGACGAGTGGTTGAGGGGTTTTTGATCCCTTGATATTCAGCGTACGACTGGCAATATATAGCGATATCACGCCGTAGATGGGCCCACCAAAACCGACGTCGAATTGTGGACTCCATTTTATTCTATCCTGTGTGTCCTAATTCCTCGTGGATCCTTCGCATCATTTCCTGTGTTGCGGAAGTCGGCACAATTCTCCGTAAATAAGCTAGTCTGTTTTGGAAATACATGACATCATCGGTCAAGCGTAAATGCGGCCACAGAGACCATAGGCATTTGGTTTCAAAACTGGCGCCTGCCAGCTTCTGGTGCGTTGGTCGGTCTTCATCCAGGAGGATGCGATTATACGATAGTCGCAGCTCCTGGTCCGTCGACTGCAACAGAATCCATTCATCTGTCTCCGGGTAGTCCATGATGACGACAGTTACGCAAGCAGCAGTGCAAGATGGACATGGTCCGTGATCCCTGGCAGGCCTTCGGGATAGGGCGTCGGCATGCCCATGTTTTGTGCCCGGACGGTGCTGCCCTTGAAAGTCGTATTCCTGCAACTGCTACTGCCTACGAGCAATCTGTCTTTCGGGGTTTCGAAAGTTTTGAATCCAGATCAATGATTGGTGGTCAGTAAGCACAATGAACTTGCGGTCGAGCAAATAGCGCCTAAAGTGCTTGATGAAAACCATAAGCAGAAGCACTTCCTTTCGTGTTGTGCAATAACTGCGCTCGTTTCGAGAGACTTCTACTCGCATATGCGATAACCGGTTCTATTCCTTCAGCTGTACATCGCGAGAATACAGCTCCAATGCCAGTGTCGCTGGCATCCGTGTCCAAGATGAAAACGCCCGCGCATGGACGGGTGTCAGAGAATGTCAAACTTGGCCCTTCACACAATGCAAGTCAGAGCGTCTTAAACGCTTCTTATTGCGCACTTCCCCAAATGAAAGCATGACCGGTCTTCTGATCGTTCAGCGGACCAGCGATATTGGCAAACTGCCGAACGAAACGCCGATAGTGAAATGCAAGGCCGAGGAAGCTACGCAATACGTCAGCGTTTTTTGAGACCGGTCATGAGCTGACGTGTTCGAGCTTCGCGGGGTCACGACGCACTCCTCCCGGGGACACGAGGAGACCTAAATAGGCCACTTTTTCCCTTTGGAGTTGAAAGTTGAAGGGCTTAAGTTTTAACGCTAGCTGTAATAGGCGATCCAATACGGCCTTGAGGCTCTGAATGTGTTCTTACGCAGTCCTGCTGTGCACAGTGATATTGTCTAGGTAAGCTATACCATATCCGAGTCATGTTAGGCCAGATATCTACTACATCTATTATGCCAACAGGTTACTCTTTCCGATGAACTAAGTTGAGCCAGGCGACTGTGACATACGCGCACCGTCCTGTGGCTGGTTCCTTAGCCAAGCGCTGTCAGCGAATAGCATGTCGAATGTATAGTAGACATAGCAACATGTACGCATGTGTAGGGTATGTATGGTGTAGGGGAATCACTACAGCCCTGAGTTTGCTCGTGTGCGACTTGTCACATGGGCTGTGACGGATTACATGACGGGGGATGGGGGTAGTAACTCG